CCACTCGACGGCCTGACGCGCGATGTCACCCAGCTGCCTCCTCAGTGAATGTCCAATCCATACAACTCACCTAGATTGCTAGTTTGCTAGTTTTCTAGCCAGTCCCAAGCCCGGATAAAATGGGAGAGTTGGGGCGTCGTACTAGCAACTCCACTCCCAAAACTTAACCAAGTTGCTACAGAAACTCCAATGCTCAAATATATTAAAATACTAGGAATATAAACAGAAACCTTATTCTACGTTGGAATTGGTGAAGTGAAATGACGAAGGCTGGTGAAAGCCTTCGGGAAGGCAGTCAGCCGGTGTGCCTTCTTTCGATGAAAGCAAAAATGAGGATGGGGGCGTTGATTTCTTACTGATGAAAATATTATGCGAAAGAATATTCATTATTTACTGATGTGTCATTTGCATAATTTTGAAATCTAGAGCAATGGGTATTGTGTTCGAGCTACACTGCAAATACAATCAATCACACACTGGGAAATACAAGTGCATCCAGTTACGAATTTCATATAGGACGAAATGCAAAACGTCGACTACACTACCAGTCACCATTCACCTGTTTACTTCAAGAATGGGGACTTTTGTAAGACGAAAAGCGTTGTCGTGCCGATATAAGTAGTGAGGGAACAAGGTACTTTCATATTGGCAAATAACACACTCACAGATAAGTGAGGAAAGATTTGGTAGACAAGTAGATAAGAATCAGATTTTTCCAGTACATCCGAATTTAACACATGAAGTGTGGTTTCATCGACGAAGGTGAATCTTTTTACTGGAAAACACGAATCACTTTGAATGTTAGTACACACCTGTAAATCCTCTTGAATCAAAAAATCAACAGAATATTTTATCGATCTGAAGGTACCAGAATTTAACTTCTATTTGTCTTCCATGCAGTTACTATGATGATTACTTAATATGTCAAATTTCTATATTAAGCAAAATTTCCAGTTTTTTTTGGTTCAGATTTAGAGGATTCGTCTATTACACAACGATTCTCACCTTCACATTCATGTGTCTCGTCCACTTGTGATGTAAAGGAGTGACTGGAGATCATGGTTCAACCGAATTCCACTGCTGAATATGGAGATTTATCTTCACTGACTTTGGTGAAGACATTTTAAAAGCATACTGTATTGTATATCAAGCATTAAATGAAAGTGTATGCTCCATAAACATTAACAATATCACTATAATTTGCAAATTGTTAATTACATAAATATGCAATCAGACCATAATACAACATATATTGCGTAATCCTTTGACTCATTGTCTATTTATCTGTATCATAAACATTGAAATTTAGTTCATGGAATTCTTGTATTTTGATGCACAATCATGAGGTGTTTCTTCTCCTTGACATCCTGTTACACTATCCACTGATAATATTCATTATATTAAATGTACACTTGTAACATGACCGTTTTTACCTGGAATATTATTGATCACTTGTTTATCAGTTAACATCTTCTATGTGCTATCCTATGAGAATGTTTTGTTTAACAGCTTGATTGATTTGACATTTCATGTGATATTTTTTTGGAAAGTAAATCTAAAGGAATGTGGCTTCAATACGCGTCAAATGAAAATGAAACATCTGGCGTCATTTTACTGAAATGAGTCAAATACCAAAAATATACACAAATAGAAATTTGCACTAATTGACCTTGAGTCCACAAACTGATCTCTATATGTGAGATTAAAATTGTCTATGAGGCCTGAAAACACTATATAAATGATACTCATTTCAAAAGTTCCCTTCAAATAAGCTCAATAATGGTAAATATTTTCTATGAGGTCAGTTAATTCTATCAGTTGATAAGGAAACATATGAATCAGCATATTAAGTAAAATAATAATAAATATGCTGTCTCAAATCAACCATATTTCAGAAACGGCTTTCATTGGAAAATCAAAGTGACAAGTGCTCGGAATCGAGAATGGATTGTTGAAAAGGGTAAGATATCTAGAGTAGTTCCGCGATGCAATTCAAGCTATAGAATTTGAAATAAATAAATAAGACGAAGCTTATTAATAAACCAAATGAATACGGATTGAAGAGCAAGTTATTTCGTCACTTAAAGGCCAGGTTATTGAGCAGGATTGGATAAACCACTTCTGTTTAATTGCAGCCCTGAACGAGACGTTTCGGGGAATTAAATTACTCTGGACACCGAATAACCTGACAGCCAACACAGTCAGAGATCGATAAATGTCCCTAATATGTTACCTCCAACTGTGCCCATCAATTCATGTGTAAATGCAGATGAAGTTGTACCGGTGTGGTGAGAGCAGGCTGCTAGCCGATTGGTTGGCACTAATCTACGTTAAGGTCTAGGTCACTAATATGGGCCGTGAGAAAATATGAACAAGCCTGAGTCAACAACCAATCACAGCAAAGTTAACGTGGCAAAATATGATTCGCAGATAGAGAACTCTATTTGTCAAGGAATCCCGAAACAACCAATCAGAAGCCTGCGTTTGTCTACCTAAACAACCAATCAGATGACTGCGCTTGTCTATAATAATGTAGTTGAAAGATGTATAAATACGTGTTGATTTTCATAATAAAACGATCTGTTGCTTCGCCCTTGTCTTCTGTTGTTACATTTGGTGTCGCTGCCTACCGACAAATGAAAAGCCTATACCCTGCAGTTTTTGATGGAGACATATGGATCTTCGGGCAGGACTTCAAGGCTTCTGCGCAGTTTAGTGGCGTTCAAGATCTGTCAGCGATGGAGCTGCTACTTGAGACGCTGCTGGGAGGTCGGGCGAAAGCAGCATATGAAGGTGTGGGCCGAAGTATGGACGAATGTTCGACAGGGTCAGGCAAACAGTTTCCAAAGTGGGAAGGACCATACATGGTCACTTCGAGATGGGGTTACGCAGACACAGTCGCAATGGCGAACAATGAGAGGCGCGTGAACGTCAGCGAGCTCCAGAAATGGATACAGCGAGACAAGCCAACGATGACGCCTGCACCAAGTAGATCAAGCCAACTTCAGTCGCACGTATTTGACGGGGGGACGAGTGTGGTGAGAGCAGGCTGCTAGCCGATTGGTTGGCACTAATCTACGTTAAGGTCTAGGTCACTAATATGGGCCGTGAGAAAATATGAACAAGCCTGAGTCAACAACCAATCACAGCAAAGTTAACGTGGCAAAATATGATTCGCAGATAGAGAACTCTATTTGTCAAGGAATCCCGAAACAACCAATCAGAAGCCTGCGTTTGTCTACCTAAACAACCAATCAGATGACTGCGCTTGTCTATAATAATGTAGTTGAAAGATGTATAAATACGTGTTGATTTTCATAATAAAACGATCTGTTGCTTCGCCCTTGTCTTCTGTTGTTACACCGGTAAAATAGAGAAACGAGTCAATGCAAAGCTCATTGAACTTGTAACAAAGATCCTTCGAGCGAAGTAATCAGATAGTTTGAACTCGTCAACTACCAAATAACTGATTGACCTAGGAAACGAATTTGAAACATCTGGAGTATTCGACACAGACTAGGTCTTTTTCATTTTTCTGCAGCCACATCAGTAAAACGAGTGAATCGTGAAATATGAGTTAGAGAACAATCCATCGTGGGATTTAAATTACCATTTTAACTTCCTCCCTAGGATACCTCTATCTTCTGGTTTCGAAATATCGTCTCAATCTCCGACTCTCGATTTTTCATTTGGCTTACGCATTACAGTTGATTTTCCATGCTTTGCATTCCACTTGTGGTGAGAGCTGACTGCTAGCTTAATTGGTAGACAGTAGCTTATGTCCCAAATATTAGTGTGAGAAAAATAAGAATAAAGACTGATTCAACAAGCACTCACAGTAAACTTTGCATAGGCAGATGCATTTAGTAGAAAGATGATCTGACATTCAAGAAACGGACACAAAGAGATGAAAAATCAACTTTCAGTGAGAAACAACCAATCAGAAGACTGAGTTGTTCTGCTAACAATAATCTATAATAATGTACATGAAGAATCTATAAATATGTGTTGATTTCCTTAATAATTGATCTGTTGCCTGACTCTTGTCTTCTATCCTTACAAACTCACTGACTTGCATTATCATCATCATCGATTCATAATTTGACTTCTTACCCGATATATGTAGATTTTCAAATCTTATGAATTCTCGCCACACTATTTTATTACCTCTGATTACGCGGTCAACACTGTATAATCACCGCTGTAACAACAGAATTGTCCATTTTTACGAGAAACGTCACGCGCAATTTGAGATCATCTTGTTATTTTTATGTTCTCCTTCATTTTGCCTGTCTTACAGTTATCGATACTGGCGGAATGAACATAATGCATGTCAGAAAATATATTGTAACTGCTTTCATAGATTGTACCCTAGATGAAGAGAACCAACAAGATGGCGTTGATCCACAATATTCTGCAGCATTGTATGTTCTATCTATATCCTGTTATATAGAGGAGAATTCGTGTATCAATTTGCTGAATTGCATCTCTCATGAGACATTATGTCACTGGGAAATCGTTTCTCCTACACATGTGGTTCGTCATTTAGTACTCCATGAGGGACCACAACTGTCTATCACTTCCAGGTGAAAATATTGTACCAGCTGGAGCCATTGGGTAGGATTATTTTGATAGTAGTGATTGTACATCGAGTGGATATTTCAAGTACAACAAATATGTATTTACTCTAGTTGTATTTATGTATGTAGTAAAATTGGATCCTCATTTCAAAAGCCTGGATTACTTTGCTAAGTAGTAACATGACATTTTCATATTTAAATTTAAACCCATTGATTCTCAGTTTAAACTATACTCAGAATAGATTTACCCATCTTAACAATACTAAATTTTTATATCAACAGAAACTACACTACTGGCTCTTATTCCGAATGAAGTACTCACTAACTTACTTATTGCACATGTACTATCCCACTCAATAATCCAATTGCTCAATTGAATTTTCTATCTGTCAGTCATTTGCATTGTATTTTCTAATCAGAATGCATCCAATCAAATTTAAGATGTGTAGACATGTAAATATATTTGAGGAATTTTCAAAGCATCGCATTCATCAATTGATTCAGTGCAAAATGCTACGTCTTTTATGCTTAATAATAATGATTATGATCAGTGTTGTATCGTGTGAAAAAAGAGTTGTAGCACGTAAGCACTTTTATGAATTCTTTGTCAATTTACATAATACATGACTAAATTTCATGTAAAGTGATGTTTATTTAGTAAGGTGTACCTCAGATGTATTGATATGAGATTGTAAACAGGCTGGTTGGGAAAATTGCAGTGGTTTTGAAAATGCGTATCTTCACTGAGTCACTTATCAGAGATGACACACAGCACGGTGAATAGTGATCAAGCTACACCTAAAGTTCTGCATATTGAGGGATAGTTAATCAGTGAGATTGAGAATGTGGTACTTATGCCAAGCTATTAATGTGTGCTTAGAATCGAATGTGTTACTTTATTCTGTTGTATATATTTTATGGTATAACATCTTTACTTTTCAAAATATTAGGAATCAGTAAGTATTGTTAATCTTGATACTTATAAAAGAGCAGTATGTAAAATTTTGACATGTTGGTTATCGATTTAAGAGTTTTGTATTATGAATAGGACCCTGCTTATTTGTGGATAGATGTTGAGTGTTAGCCAAGTGAGGGTATGTTTCCTTTTGCACAAGTGATTCTGCCTATGAATCCATTTGAGAATGGTGTGATGCCATACAAAAAGAAAACTGAAGTAAAAAGGATAAAATCTGCCGTTTGGATGGATTTCGGTAGTCTAATTGCAAAACCGTCTTTATCTACTCTGGATGCAGCTTCAAAGATAAATTCAATATGGATTGAGTTATGCAAATGCTTGACTTTCTGTTCATTTCACCCATCTTAATTCACTGATAACTTTTTTCACAATCTCGATGTGTGTTATTATCAAGTTGATTTGAATTCCATGTTTATAAGAGTTGTGTATGATTCTTTATAATCCCTGTGTCGAATATCTTACATTATTCCAGCTGAACTGATGTCCGTTACTGTCCATGTGAACTGACACAAGCAAATATATATCATGTCTCCATGAATACGTCATATCCATTAATGGATATTTTGAAATAATTTTCCATTACGAGAACATACAACGGTATTATAAAATATCCAGTAAGAACAAGACTGATATGAATGAATAAGAAGATTTCTAAGACGTTGTAAGTACCTCGGGAATGAATAAGCTGTTTTAAAGGCAGACATATTGAATGTACACAGTTCATTCCATCAGAGAATCGGTAGTTTTGTGTACGTATATCCCCACTTAAAGTTTCTATATAATGGGGACTTCAACCTAGCAACAATTGTTTTGAACATTAAAGAGCTAACCAGTAGCCAATTGGACCATGAGGATCATCTATAGCACACCTAGTATCATATATTATTTGGTCTAGTGAACTTTAATGTATAGCCCGTTGACTGTTTCCGATGACAGGATGTCAACTATCACTTCTACATGTGCAATCACATAAATGCCTCGGTATTTCGTATTTCATCTCCTCTTCACATGACCTCCCCCAAGTCACTTTTGGACGACCAACTTGCCGCTTCCCTTTTGCGTTCCACTCGAACGATGGTTTGTCTGGTGATGTCACTTGATGGTTTCCTTAGCGTATGGCCATTCCATCTCCATTTCTTCCTGCCCATTTGTTTGACAATCTGTTCCTGGTTAGTTCGCTCATTTCCAGAGATCCCTGTTGCTGATCTTTTCTGGCCGGTCATCTGATCTTGAGCAGTATTGAGCGAAGAGAACTGTTAATGAAGGTCTAAAGTTTCTTTGAGATGCTCTTTATGACGCGCCAAGTCTCTGATCCATCTGTATAGTAGCACTGACTTCACATTGGAGTTGAAAATTCAGATCTTATTTTTTATTCTGAGTTCTGTTGACCTCTACACAGACTTAGGACTTATGAAAGCTTGTCATGCTTCCTCGATCCTTGCAATGATATCCTCGTCAGTTCCACATGTAGTTGAAACGATGCTTCCCATGTGGGTAGGTAAAGGAGGTTGTTTCTTTCAGGTTCCTCCCATTTATGCTGATTGTTGTCTGTTGTTGTTGCTGTTGGTGTTGGCCAGGAATCTTCATCACCTCTGTTTTCTCTATGTTCACTTGAAGTCCATTCTTTGATTCTTCTTCTATGGTCAACTTGTTGCTTTTCACTTGCAAATCTTCCAGTTCGTGGAAAATCAGACATATATCATCGATGAAGTCCAGATCCTCCAAGTTTTATGTGTGAGTCCATTTTATGCCTGTTTCCTCACTGCCCGCCTCTGTCTGTCGCATTATCTAATTTGTTGCAATCAGGAAGATCATTGGCGATAGTAGACAGCCTTGCCTCATTCCCATCATCACTTCGAAGGATTCCGAAAGTTTTCCATTGTGAATTACTTAGCATTCAGCATTGTCGTATAACTGTTGGATGAGATGTATAATTGACGATGGCACCCCGTATTGGCGTATTTTCGTATGTAACAGCAATATGTGATGGAAATTAGACAAACGTATGCTCATAGTTAATACACATGCCACTATACAGCTTTAAATATTAAACTCGTCGATTTTCCTGCAGTCTATTTATTTTTTATTCATAGAAACAATTAGAGATTATCTCCTGTTCATTGAATATAAAATGCATATTCAACTTTCACCTAAACTCTGCATTCCAGTCTTTATCCCACGTGAGTACTGAATAGTTACACATTAGATGAGCATAGTTAATTATGCATATGAATAATGGTAATACTGTTAGGAAACTTAATACTTCTTAAATGTAAACATGTATTGAAACGTTGAAGAGGAGTTGAGTAAGATAAATATCTCCTCACTATTGTCTGCAGTTCCGTTTGATGAAATTTCTTTTTTAATAGCTTGCCTCATGTCAGTGACTTCGAATGAGAGGTTAACACAGTGAATATTTCGATGTTTATTCTACCAGTTTCGTTTGATCGGAACGTCAGGGTGTGGTGAGAGCAGGCTGCTAGCCGATTGGTTGACACTAATCTACGTTAATGTCTAGGTCACTAATATGGGCCGTGAGAAAATATGAACAAGGCTGATTCAACAGCCAATCACAGCAAAGTTAACGTGGCAAAATATGATTCGCAGATAGAGAACTCTATTTGTCAAGGAATCCCGAAACAACCAATCAGAAGCCTGCGTTTGTCTGCCTAACTCCTGATAAACAACCAATCAGATGACTGCGCTTTTCTACTTGCATAAGCTATAATAATGTATGTGAAATATATATAAATACGCGTTGATTTTTATAATAAAACGATCTTTTGCCTGGCCCTTGTCTTCTGTTGTTACAAGGGTAACTTACTGGAAATCTTTAATGTTTCGTTGATGGCTTAATCGGAAATAAATTGTCTACAATCACATAAATTATTTGGAACACATCATTCAGCTCACAATGATTACTAGTTTGTGGTTTGCTAATAATTCCGGATTCATGCGAATTTCTTTCATCTCAAATGTTCACACTTACGCCTTATGAACGTCGCTGTATAGGTCAAAAAAGGCATACGATACCAATCTGTCAACATTGTTAGCATTAGATTGGCATGTGATAGTTAGACATAAATTTCAACATTCAAATCCAACACAAGCAGATCATTTGAATGTGATATCACTTCTATTAACAAAATATTAAGCATTTATGTGTAATTTAACACCATATACCTCCTCGAAATGTTTACAATCCTGTTACGGCAGACCTTATACCGATAACGCATCACGTCCCTGGTAAGTCCTGTAATTTCATCGCTGATTAGTTAGAGTAGATAACAAATATTAACCAATCTATATTCATGGGTTTTTCATGATGTTATCATCAGAATTTAATCATAGAGTGTATTCCCGTGATCATTTTGAAGGGAGAAAAGGCAATTTTCTCAGTGACATGATGCGCACATTTTTTTATTTGGAAGCGCATCTTCTGCCGTAGGCAGTCTGTAATAATTTAGGAACATATTTCTCTTCCTACTGAGAACAAACGAAGCATGGAAGGTGAGGATGTATGAAGTGTCATGCTACAAATATTAAAACTAACATGAAAAGAAACAAGTTACCTCTGTGTAACAAGTTTAATTTGGTTTCCTTTTCACCTATTGAAGCAAATGTCCTTGTGTCAGCTTGTGTTCGATCTATCTCCACTTACTCCTGTTTCCGATGTCTAAGGTCTTCAACAGATATTTTTGCTGGGTGAACAGCGAGAAGATTAGAACACTTTATTTCATTGTTCTGATGTATATTGTGGGTTGTGTGAAGTTAAAAAGGAGTCTCCAAATAAAATAAGCGTATTTTAAACACCGAATCTCCTTTCTATTGCTCTGAAGAAATAAAGCAGTGTTCAAGGAATCAGTGAGGTGATACATATTCACACGTTTGTGTAGTTATGGGTCATCTGTTAAACTCGCATTTTAGCATTGAAACCATAAATGAATAAATCAGGCATGTTTATGGATTTGGGTTTACCTCAAAAGCAGTGAAGTTTATTATTTCAACCTGATTATTCTTAAATCTGATCAAGAGTTTTCAAATGTCATTTAGAAAAAGATGAAAAAAAGCCGGTTACTGATACCAGTGAGTTTGGAGTAGTCATCATATATTTTGTGTGTTTACTGAATAAATGGATTATGCAATGAAGGTTTACACACACTTTTATTCGTGCAGTTATTTCATAATTTAGCTCCTGTCCCACTCACACTGAACTACACGCTGGTACTTACTACTTTTTGTATCTCCTGACTACCTTCTGGTTTCAAAAGAGCTGACGTAAATGGACTCTTCAAAAGTTACAACGTTCTTTACTTTGGAGTTCTCCGAGCAATTAAGACTAACACTGTCTTTTTACACGCAGTTTCTGAGGATGTCAGGCTTTATTCAAACTACACCTTCTGAAGTAAACTATCCTATAGAATTTGTGGATGATTTTATTCTTTAGCCTCATTTTCTCATTGTAACAAAATCAGAGGTGTACTCTGTGGATATGTATGCACTGAATACGTCGGCCATACTAAGCGTTATCTTTGCATATTTTACTTCGAAATCTAATCTTATAGCTTTATAGAAGACGAAATGGATCCATACACAGCTCTTTTCTGGATATAATTCAGATTTTCAGACCATAGTCATGGTCATCTACCTGAAGGGTACGCGGATATCTCACCTTGAGTGTACGAATCTAACATCTACCAGCTACAAATCTGTGAATCCACCTTTTCAGTATTTAAATCTGCATACAAAAGACGTTCATCTATTCCCAGGAAATGCAATGGATTTAATTTGTCGCATTATTTGGTGTCAAATATTCTGGCTTTCAGTTTATTAACCTCATTGTTTACCTCACTTACGAAGAGTACATATGATCTGCATATAGCACCGATCTTAACTGGTCACCTATCCAACTTTAGATGAGTTCTACTTAATCCTGTTTATTATCTTGCACCACTTAATTTCCTAGCTTAAATATTGTTTGCATATGAGTAGCGTTTTCTACAGTGCTTAACACATATCTGTAACCTGCAATCTCAGCGATTCATCTTTTGCGGCGTTTACTCTATTGCAATGAAAGTATGTTGCATATATGTATACATACATGCGACTGTACAGGTTGAAAGTCACATCACTGAAAAAATAGTTTTTCTTTGTTGAACACAAATTCTATTATATGATTTCATGAGGATTGTTGACCTCCTTGAGTTAGGAAATGCTAATTTTATCCTACGACGAAGAATGTAGAACATCAGCATGACATTCTAACAAATTCAGAATATTTTAGTGAATTCTACGCAAATAAACCACACATGCTGACGCATTTGCATTTCCGCCACAATCACTACAATGTATTATTTCAATCATGCGCTCACCGCATTTGACCAAAATGTTTTCATAATCATTTAGACAAAGAAGGAGTAAAGACTGATCCAAGCACAAGTGAGTTCAATGTGTCCATCATGCTTCGTGTGTACTGTTTAAATGGACAATCGATTTGAGAATTACAGTTTTGATATGGTTGTGTTCTCTGGAGTGGGATCGAGACCCTAGCAACCTTTGTGGTCGGCGTGTATTATCCTACTGACCCATCAAAGCAACAAGTTTAATGTGTTATTTCACCTTTACACCTTTCATAAATGACCAATTCTTCCTAATCATCTTCTAGCCACCAGTACAGCGACAGTGTCGACGACACCTGGTGAGTTATCTGTTTGTATGCCTAGAGAATAAATGTGTCGACGTAGCATTACCCAAGCAGGTGATGTTATGCAAGCAACGAAAACACACTGACGTTCACAGTATTCAGCATATCGTCATCATCATCAAGATTTATTCTATTTGTGGAGTCAGATAAGCAGACTTTTGGCAATATTTCCCTGAGGTTATATTTTTACGTGCTTTAGAACAGTATGAAATATTTCTGTGAGGTACTGAACGAGGTGTCAGTTTGTTATACTGAACGGCAAACGGTGTTCTGTATTCTGATGGATCAAATATTTATACATGTTTAAATAACTGCATTGAGAAAAATCTAGCCTATGTTACTGATTTTTGATTTCCAGCTTGATTCCACACTGTATTTTCGTACAAGTCTAGAATTTTCAGAATGGATATTGGTCGCCCAAATTTTGCAGGCCGACCATAGATATCAGGTGTGCATCGGCAGGGGATCGAACCTCGGACCATGTACATGGTCTTCGAGAGTCCTAAACACTGTGCCACCGACGCGTACTTTGAAGTCTTGTGATATATATCATCTCTACTCCTATGAAAACTAAATTCTGAATGGAAACAAAATTCCAATCCGATGACATTCACTGATTCTTCGCCGCTTCTTTTCCGAGAGAAATCTTCCGTGAAATCAAGTAATCCCTCACGAAACAATTGAAATCACATGGCTGTACGCATTCATTAGAATGAAACGAGTTCACAAGTCTGTTATCAGACGCCTATCTGTGAATCACATGAATATTCTCTATGCAACAATTATTCAAGCTGATCGAAGTACCTAATGTAAGTGCAGTATTCGATCACTGTCGTGGAACATGATTCTGCATTAGACAAGTTCATTTTAAACAAAACAGAGTGATGTAGCATCGATGCCTTATTCAAATACTAACAAATCCATGTTTTGTATTAGTATGTTTACGCTTCAGTTTCGTTAAAAATTGTTTCTTTACTCGCTTATAAAAAGCTCCACCAGGTAAGTGACAAGTATTCAGTAAGTCGATAAAACGTCATACAGTTTCATTTGCACGCATATATTGGAACCTGTTTTATTATCAATGTAAGTATCAAATATTGTACTACTCATATACGCATAAATTGAAAGAGTTCACTTAGGAATTTCTCAATGTATTGGGCAATGGTTGGATGAAACCCTATGAAAGGTATTATACATAATTAAAGAATGAGAGTGTTTGAGTTTCGGAATATACAGGAAGTGATACATACAAAGAAAGCCTTGAAACTTAATAATTACCCGGATAAATTAGTTAGGAAATATGTAAAGTTATGTAAAAATAAAATAAATGTTGATAGTTTCAAGAGTTATAATAATAATAATCATAAAAATAATAACGATAATAATGATAGTGATAATAATAATAATAATATTAATGACGACACCAACAATAAGGAATCTAAATTGTCAGTGGCGATTCCATACAAGGAAGGAACCTCGGAAGCCTTATGCAGAATTCTTAACAAAGCAGGAATAAAAGTGGCATTCATACCCACAAACTCATTTAGAAATAAGCTTTGTTGCTTGAAGGATCCTCTGGAGCCTTTATAATATAACGATTTAGTTTATCTTATACCCTGCAATGATTTTCAGGTTAAATATATAGGTCAAACTGGTAGAACAGGGGCAGTCAGACTAGCCGAACATAAGAACCTAGCTAAATCTAGATTGGTTGACCCAAATAAGATAAATCTAGAGAATAGTTCAGCTATACCACTCATTGCATGCAATTGCACACAACCATACAACTTCGGATTTTGGGATAAAATGACAGACATTTTTCAAATCCAATGTCACAGGGTGGAGGGAGAGATTGACAACAGAAGTTTTGTTTATCGAATCAAATGCAAATACGTGTAATAGGAATGATTCATCACCTGTCTGTGATATCCGTAAATTTCTACTACACCTACGACAAATAGGAGAGGACAAAGAGCACATAAGTACTCCAGTTTCAAAGTCGTGTGATTACAATTGATATGATTATGAACAATAATAAATTTTGTTCAAAACTGTGTCATCCAGTAAATAATACTTTTTCATTGACTGTGTGATACATCTAATAAAGAAACTAATATGGAAGTGAATTGTGTATGATTCATGATTCAGCGTTATCACACGAACATGACATAATATTATTGTGCAATGTATGATCACTTTCAAATGCACATGATTCGCAGCTGATGCATTCAGTATACTTAGAGTTGTCAGCATACACTTCATTTGTGCATATATTCGCCTAGAATGATACCTCATGAAATGGTGCACATTTGTGAGATATCTGACCAATCGTCGTATCAAATACAAACTGTTCATATTATCTACTCTTTCAATGTAGCCTATGCAAGTTTAGTGATTAAGGTGTAGCTACCACAAGGATATCTGAAGTCATCCCTTGTTCACATATGATTAAGTTTTGAATAACATTGTTACTTGTGTTGTATGACTGTTGTGTATTCTAATGCATATTTCAGTGAAGGAACCTGACTTACATTTGAGGCCAGGTAAGTTTTGTGATTTGTAATCTTCACACCATGCAATAAAACCTGAATCATGACTGCTTTATCAGCTCATTTGGTGTTCGTTTAACAGCTAGATACTGGATTTATTGAAAAAAGGGTATGCTACCCATCCAGTTTGTTATCTATTCAAAAGAGGAGGTTTCTTTGAATGGAGTGAGAGACAGTTTGATATTATGTCGGTGTGTTTCAGTTACTATCATATTTCTCTCAATGGGCTTTTTTTTATTTGCTTTAAATACGAGTAACATTTATCAGCGTTCTCAGAAAATTAAAATTTTTTCCTGCTCACATAGTTCTATGATACCTCTTGCCTATTAGTAATCAAAGAATATTTCTCTTCTTCACAAACGCTCAACCAAATAATTCATCTTAAGAGGTCAAGTTAGGACATTTCGCCTGTTAAATAAATCAATAATTACAGGCAATTCAGATAGGGATCAAACTTCATCGGTTCCTTACGTTTCAGACAGTAAACAGTGAACATGACAGGAGATGATCCCGAAGATAGGCGTGCGTGGATATTGTTGTCACCCATCCGAAGAAGTCGTTGCATTTGAAGTCTGTAATACGTTAAAAAAACATAGCTCAAAACTTCTGTTCAAATAGATAATTTAATTAGATTCTTACCATAGCTCCCTTGTATGTTGACACGGTTCACTGTTGTATATATTTCTGATCATTTTTTAACTTACTTCTTTTAGATCCATTACGTAAGTTTGACATTTTGCTGGCCTCCATTGGCGTTTTTATCAGTGAACCAATCAATATAGAATTATCATAATTAGGGCTGATAATTGATGCAACAAGCTCCTACTGTCTTTCTCCTTCATGAATAATTCACCTATGATCTGATGTCATTAACACAGTGGAAGTTGATTATGAGTTTGTATAATGGTTATTAGTTGTAAGCCATGAGTAATATTAGTGTCGACCAAGTGGTAACTAGTCCGTCTCATTGTAATGAAACCACAAACTGGTTGAAAAAATCTGACGACTGATATCATTATTCAGTCAAAAAATTCGGAGTTGCAATCATCTTTTAACCTTATACCTCTTAGATGATACTCTCCTACACATTCTTCATTACACATTTGAATGTCTAGGCTTCTTCATTTGATTTGAAGAAAGTAAAGACAATCACATTAGCAGAATAGGACGATTATATTTTTAATTTGGCAGACATCCCACACAAAAGTGTTGCAAATTAAAATATTTATTGGTTACAATCAAAAGAAAATACTTCGAATTTTGAAATAGCATAACAGAAACTATTGCAGTTTCGAGTCTAATAGTTAATAATAATAAGTAACGAGAATTTAGATGAGACGTAAGAGACAGCTGCGAATTACAAATATGTACATAAGTTTTCCAAATCACACTGTTACTCAGTGTTTAGATGGAATTTCTTGTGATGATAACGAATTTCTGGGAACAAAAGAGTCAAGCTCACTTTACGCCGATGATTTTGGTAGCTCAGAGGTTGCCAAATTTCAGAGAAATTTCACTTGATATTGACGGATGATTTGTGGCATGACATAATGTTTCAAGTTGATATTATTCACTTAGAATGCTTTAAACAAATCTATTTTCATGTGCATTTGAGAAAATTATGCAATTATAATGCTTGTAGGAACCATAGGTCCAGTAAATGCATATGAGACATATGTATGTACAATAACATTCCTGTGTAGTGATAAACTTTTTATTTCATTCAAGTTGAATTTGGTGAGTTGCATTTTTATTCGTAATTCTATTGACATTTGCATATATGATACGAATATATGTTATGTAAAGTTGAAAGTAAGAGTGGAAATGGTACTTGTTACGTGAATGTTTAGATGGGGAAGTGATGATTCTATCACTGCAACATAAATTCTTGGAACCGACTTCCTGAAGAATTATTGTCTGAGTTATGATTCGAATTCTTCAAAAAAAGTGAGAATCAAACAGAGAAACTTTGTCATACTTTCATTAATAAGATGAGCGTGTCATATGAGATGTGTATTGGCTCTGAGAACCTAACTTTCAGTTACCTCAGTACAGAGTTGGAGCGAAAAGTAAGCAGAACATATATTCAACACGTAGAGCTTCGTGAGGAAAACTTCTAAGTAGAATTCATCTTAGAGTCATAAATGAGGTAGTGTAGAGAAATAACTTTGCACAGAGTAATAACCAATAGTTTATTCGCATTCAACCTCTTGAGGGGAATTTCCTGTAACTTCTGAATACTCATGAAGATTTCACCACTGTCTTTTTGTCACTGCAAGCCATTTGTTAAACAAACTAAGACGTCAATCACTGTATATTTGTTAAGTGTTAGTAATGACGCTGGCCAGAAAAGATCAGCAACAGGAATCTCTGGGAGCGAACCAATCAGGAACCGATTGTGAAACAAATACGCAGAAAGAAATGGAGATGGATTGGCCATACGCTGAGGAAACCATCAAGTGACATCACTAGACAAGCCCTCGAGTGGAACCCGAAAGGGAGGCGGCGAGTTGGTCGTCCAAGTGTGAATTGGAGGAGGTCATGCGAGGAGGAGATGAAAGCATGTGGACAGACCTGGAGCAGGGTGAAAAAGTTGTCAGAAAACCGAAGGCAATGGAGGTGCGCAGCTGAAGCCCTATGTTCCTCTAGGAACTAAACGATACAATAATAATAATAATAATGACGCTGAAAATGTCTACACCTCAGTATTAATCGCAAACACAGAATCCGTATCTAATTTGCCATGGTGTCCTGTTGAAAAGTGAATTAACGTTTGAAACACTCTCAAGACGGAATAGATCATCTTGAGAATTGCAATTACCATCATGAGAGAGCAAAATGACACGAATGCAGGTTATTTTGTCAATTCTCTTGAGATGAGTGAATGCAGAGTTTGATCAGAATGACATACAGTTGGCACCTTATGCTGATATTTCAGGAGAACACTCATGTATATATTTCTGAAAATGAGTTTCTTACATGATGAAGTTTCCTGAGATCAACAATCTGAATTAATGGCAACTAAGTTCCAGAGGTAATTGGACGACATCTTCATATTGGTGAATTATTTCATCAGGGTTAGGGAAATGTGGTAACTGAATCATGTTGAAATATAGTCCTACCCCAAGACTTTTGATCATAATCAGGTCACAGAGACAAATGAGGCTGATGAGTCGTAGTCATTCTTAGAGTCGCAAGCAAATGCAAATACACTTTTAGTCTACATAACCATAATGAACTTCATCTTCACTAACAAAGACGTTGGGAATTCATTTTCTGAAAAAGCATGAAGTGTTTATGTTTTAAGGAATGTTTCAGAAATGACTTCCTATGTACGCAGTTTTTGTATGCGTCAACTTTAATTTTAGCTTAGTTAATCAGTCAGACATGCAACATCCTAACTGCATCGATTCGTCAAGTTCAAAGCGGCTGGTACTCCCAGTTAAAATAAAACACGCAAAATATCTCTACATGCTTTTCTCGCAAATTGTCTATTCTTTCAGAAAAGGAGTAAGTGGTTTAGTTGCTGTTTGTTAAACTTGAGTATTCAGTGAATTGCTTAGATATTTAGATGTAAACGGCAGGGATTAATGTCAACAAGAAAAAGAAATAGTTGCCAACGAAACTGGCTTTTGTCAGTCGTTAGAATTCATGGGTCCTTCAATCCCGAAATAAGACAAAATAGCTACCCAGTAATTACTGCTTGTTTTCACAAATTCTCAAATTGATTGAGACTTTTCTTTTGAAGGTAGAAATTGCTCAGTGAGACAGTTTAAACCTGTTAATTATTCAACACAGAACTAGGATGTGTCATTTGCACCCATTCATCAAACATGAAGATAGTGAGACATTGGTTATAGGCGTATTTGTTAGTGGCTATCAGTGAAAACGAATTCACATGTCTGTCTTCATTTATGACTCATGAGTTAGATATACTTAGGCGGGACATTTCCACTCAGATTATGGTCATCGAATACATAACCGAGATTTGCACAACCTGTATAATGTTAGAGCCGGTTAAAAGAAATAATTGAAGTGAATACCTGCTCATTTCAGTGGCTAATTATTTGATTAATTATTTCTGCTGCATTGAAGGTATGTCAGGTGAGTGTCAACACAACGTTGATAGCTATGGAGAGACAAAGTTTTGATGTGTGTGGCATTTTGTGTTTTGAAATCACTTCAATGAAACATTGTTTTGTTCACTCGGACAAAATCACGCAGAATGTCGGATGGATGTAGTTCGGTCAAACCATGTGACACTGTCTCAATCCAAAATTTAAAAAACATTATAAGAGTTATGCCTTCTGCAAGTGAGGAATGAATATTTCTCTTAGAATTATTGGTATAAAACGGTGCTCAAGATGAAGCATATATGAGGAGTAGAAATATATAAAACTCGTTTTGATACTGTATATGGCTGCATATAACCGTTTGTCTCGTCGCTAGATATTTACGCCTATGGGAACACGAAGATGAGGAGATAGCTCAACCGAATCTAAGAAAGTGTTAACCAATACTTACCATATATATCCCTGGCGTGTCAATTTAGTCATTTAGAAATATGCTTCGAATTCTAATCATGAAAACCAAATTTTGTAGTGATTAAGGATAATTGAGAAATGAAGTAAGTCACTTATTCTCGCACTGGACAGGGAAGTGCTTCACTATAAAGCGTTCTGAAATTTTCATTTAAACAGTAACAAGGCTCAGATTCTATTTATGATAAATCAGGTGAAACATTCTCGAAATTGTAGACGTAATGCGTAAGTCAAGTGTTTTAAACGTGTTTATCTCCCTATCTATATAAGCATTCTGGATTTCGAAAACGCCTATCCTGTCAAAGTATCGAATTTAACGTTAGCAACGTGTCCATAAATTCGTTGATTTGAATACGACTACAGTGAATGTTTGTTCAACGTGATATTTGAAATTTTCTCCTGGAAACAGTGATCAGACTTTATTTCATGCTCAGTTCATGGATTTTGTCCACATAAACGAATTACGCGTATGATGTGAATAAATTCAACAAACGATTTTTCGACATTTATCTGGTGACACAGTTTGACAGACAGATAAATACTGCGCAGTATTGAGGCACGTGCACATTATTACTTTTTAGAACAGGAGTGTGATTTGCCAAATCATAGGAATTATTTATTATGCAGGTTTACTCATATCTCTTGGTGACTGACATCGGGATTCCACTACAACGTTCAAGAGTAATGCAGCAGTTGCTGGCGACTTCTCTCCACAAGATTATACATTTTGATAACCAACGCATATGCTAGACAGATGAAATGATATTTGATGGAATTCGATAATATGAATTTGGAAATTCCACTTCATTATGGAACACAGTATACCACACCTGAGATAATTGAGATAGATAGATAGATAGATAGTCTTGAATAATTAATCTAAATGATTCATAAGAATATTAACTGTTTCTGACGTCATTTTACAAAATGTAAAGCGTTTTCAAAAACCCATTTATGTGATGTGCCTATGCACACTAGGCATCATAGTAATGGAACGTAAAACAGAATTGATTTTAGATTGTATACGAAATGTGACCAGTGTGTAAAATACTGCTAAATTCAAATAGTGTAGAGTAACTGTGCTATTTATTTGAATATATATTATGGCAAGATGGTCAGTTCAATAGCATTTTGCATAATAGAGAGTCGCTCGAAAATCCCCATTGAGTCATATGAAAAGATTTTTTATTTTATTTTTGATTACAGCTTGATTCCACACTGTATTTTTGATACAAGTATGGAATTTTCAGCACGGATATCGGTAGCCCAAATTTCGCAGGCCGACCATAGATATCAGGTGTGCGTCGGTGTGGGCTCGAACCCCGGACCATGTGCATGGTCGGCGAGAGTCCTAACCACTGTGCCACCAACGCATGTTCAGCGAAGAAACACTTTTTGACGAATTCATTCACATAGCTGTACAGTCGCATTTATATACAATTATTTTGTGTATGTGTGTGTACATGAGCTTTGTCAAGTTTGGATAATTGGTCAGATAATACCAGACTGATGTAATATAGAAACGA